GTTCACCATCGTACAAGAAATCTCATCGAGAGGAACCAATGATGGTTAGAGATTCGAACCTGTCCATTAGACAATTTCTACTAAAACCCAAAAAATATAAATAAGATTAATTATTAAATTAAATGAATTCACAAAACAATGTTCATTTTGAACTAAACCAAATAAAAACAAAAATTTATGCGTAAAACACAACCCCATAGAATAAATCATTTTGAACAAAAGTATGCAACAATGTTCAAGGGTTCTAAACAACCTATTCATACAATCTACAAAACCCATTCAAAACCCGCACAAACCCAAAACATTTAACAAAACTTAATCTCAACCCCATTCAAAATTGAGGAAATAATTTAAGATTCGATTAAAAAAATCAACTCACCTTTGAAATATACGATTGTGTAATCGGTTGGAAGCTGCTGGTTGAAGGACAATGAAGAATTGGAGAGGAGAAATGATTTGAAATATTGGGGTTTTTAAACCCTAATATTTTGGGAATAATCGAGTCTCCCCCATTTCATATGTCTGTGAGATATTTGAAACGTGTGTTTTATTTTGTTTAATTAAATTGAATATTTATTATGGGTTAAATAAGCTTTTGTTTCATTACAAAACCGAGTAATATGCTTGGCCTGGTGGCAAGAGGCATACCATTTCACGCCATTGCCCCAGGTTCGAGTCCTCTTCCACGCAAGTAGGCTTTTATTCATTCTTCTCAATACGCACCAATAGAAGAGTGACATGTGTCACTTTCTCAATGGTACAAAATTCTAAAAAATATTAATTTTTAACAAAAAAAATATGTCGTGTCAATTCCACGTTAGCATACATTGGTGACATAGACATGCCATGTCATCATTTGTGTCCACATGTGCTTGCTTAGTCAGCTGAAGGCGTTGACCATCAATTGACTAACGATTTTCATCCGATGGGGGTGACTTTTGAATCAAAACAAAAAGTTGTGGGGTCAAATGTTCCAAAAAATAATAGGGCCAACTTTGCATATACTGTCAAACGTTAAGGGTATTTGTTTGCATTATGCCCATTTTTATTTTATTAGTTAATATATTTATTTCCTATAAATATATTTTAAACATATATCAGGTAATATACATAAATGGTCATCAACTATAGATAGGTTATTATTTTGTTGAGTCCCTCTGTAACCCCCCAGACCGATGCGGATAACCCGATCCGATCTGGGTTGTCACATTAGGGCCACCGGAGCGACCCACTGTAAAAATAGCAGAAATTTTAAAACTTTTTATCAGAACATGTAAACGTATAAAATCATTTGTCACTATTTAAAAATAAAACAGATTTCCAGACTCGTATATAAAACAAAATACAATTACATGCCCCCTAATCACATGTACCATACTCTGAAAACAATGCCGGAAGAACTCCCTTACTGTTATCGATAGCTACACTGGTACAATTCTTTTAACCTACAATGTTGAGTAATAGAGTGAGCTTCGGAAAGCTCAGTAATACAGAACTACCAAGTGATGCTAAAGGACATGCAGATAAATGTGAAGCCATAATTTCCTTATTGAATCAAATGTATACCAGTTTGCAAGATAATCTGGGATTCCATTAGTAGTTCAACGAGTAGAAACCATGAAGATCACAGTTTATAGGAAGCATTCATAGTATCACGTTTTCATGAGATCGAATAGGATGTCTAGTGTGTTCCAACAATACGATAAAATCATAGTAGGTACAATAAACGAGTAATAGTTCAATAAATCATCATAAAATCATAATGAAGTTTCACTTTTGAAAATCATAGTTTAAACTCTTTTCTTGTACACCATCAGTAATTTCCAAAACTATTTTCCATATAGCTTACTCTAAGCACACAACAAAAAAGAAAGCCAACCTAAGGATAAGCTTTAGAGCTTGTATCCTTAAGCCCGTAAGTCCAAGTCCATATAGCTTACCCTAAGCACACAGCAAGGGAAGCCAACCTAATGTATCTTGGGGCCCCAAGAGTCACATTAGGCCCATTCTGTTTATTAGCCTGATCAGAGTTAAGTACAAATCCTTAAAGTATTTTCTCATTCAGGGTTAACTAGAACTATTTTACCTCTCAAGGGTAATTTCGTAATTTCTTAACCAGATAATTTCAATATTAGTTCTTAACGAAAATAATTATAATTTAGAGATCCTATGATCAATTGCTTTACCGAACATTCTCTTATCTTGAAATGATTCCTTAATATAATTCTAATATCTTGCACAAACCCTCTAGGGTTTAAAAACCGGTTATCCGAAATTTCCAAGTAAAACTAACATTTCTTATGCACATTAGTAGTTATATCGAATCAATATGTCTTTTCAGAGTTATTAACTAACTTCCAGGGACAATTCTTGTCATCCTACAACTTAAGGGTATTTTCGTAATTTTACCCTACCAGAGTATTCTCATAATTTCTCATCCAAGTACCTTTAACATTTAACCTTTGATGAAATAAATTATAAGTTGCAGATACAGGGCTGATTTCTTTATCAATAATCACAAACTTGTAATTTAATCTAACAATTCCTCAATCTCTTATATTAGTCATTCGATCCGTAATCAGTTACAGAATTTCTACCACATCATATCGAGTGTATAAATTATTCAACTTCACCAAAGTGACCAACATTATCTTGTTCATGCATTTATCAATATAAACATGTTCCATAAAGCATAAAAAGGTAGTAAAGTATTACCTCGATTTCCTTGCCATATTGCTCGACCATTTAAATTAAATTCGAACGCCCTCAATCTTGAAATCGACTTCCAATAATTCCTCAGATACATATTAACATAAATTTTATCAAAAACAAAACTTAATTCTGAAAAACGAATCGAATTAGGTGATTAATCAGTGAAAAACAGCTTACCGGATTTGAATTTGGCAAAACGAACCTCAAAATCGGAACATCAACAAAACCCAAAATATTAGTCTTAAATTCCAGCTCACCAACTTGATTTCTAGCTTCCAATCTTTTTCTAACGAACACGGATAATTTATCGTACAAATACGACTTCCAATAATTTTCCTTTCCATAAAAAAATAACTTATTAGAATCTAATTAATAATTTGGAAACCCAATTTGCATAACTAAAAACTTGAAGAGCCAGTAATATTTAATTACCAACATCATGGACTAAATTGATCTTATTTAAACCATTATGCCATAATCATATCAATATGAAAACTAGGAGACAATGTTGAGCTTTTAACAACTTGGATGGCTTACCTTGAAATTTCGCCTTCTCACTTTAATAACAACCCCCCAAAATCACTTGCCTTATTTCATTCCACCATTTCTTTTTCATTCCTTTACATAATCTTTAAAGCTTCAAGCCATATTTTGCAGATGAACAAGGAAGCCTTGTCGATAGGTAGTTGAACGCCGACGACCACCGTATCAACCGTCGTCACTAATCGTCGTCCGAGAACCAATATACATGGTTCGAATCGCATCAAACTCTTCATCACGAATACGACCTCTGAATACTTTGCTTCGTACATAAAATATTCCATGTTCGTCATTTTAGCTCAAGCAATGGAGTATTTTTGGCTCAAAACGTTGGTTGTTTGGGGATTTTGAGCTTGAAGATAAGGGATTTGAGATGAGCTTCAGAAACAGTAAAGAGAATCGAGATGCATTTTATTGGTTTCAATTGAAGAGATCTCAACCTTCGTTTCGATATCTCCATACGTTGTTACGGTTGAGAACCTTCCATCCGTCACGACCACGACTTGAATTCTCGGACGAAGCCGATGCTAACAACTCCTGCACACAACTCTCACTTACAAATTGAACGTATCTTATCAGCGAGTCCTCGCTGATGGACCATGATTTGTTGCAAGCTACAGAATCGGCATCCATTGCTATTGGAAGGTAGCTAAAACTAGTTAGGCCTCTTTTTATTTTTTTACTCATAAGAACTAAAGTAGGAATATATATATACCAACAACTGATTACAAGGGTCAAGGGTATGGTGAAGAGAGCAAAATAATTAGTGGAAGAGGGGGAGTTATGATGATTGAGGCACATGTGATGCCAGAAGAAGCTCCATGATTGAAACTGCACATGGATTGTTGGGAACTTTAGGAAAAATCCAACAGAGAATAAAGCCATGGAAGCACTAATTAATTTTTTTTCAGTCGACTAAATGGGTTTCATGGTGGCAATGCATTATCCTTAATTTAATCCCATCACAACCAACAATTTGTCCACTTCTACCTACTATATTATCCTCTATTTGTTTAATAAAACAATGGTCTAATAAAATAATTTTTTTCAAACCTTCATATTTAATCTAGAAAAAACATAACCCCTAAATTGGGGTGTTACACCCTCAACTGTCACACCCCAATATAGGGGTTAGTTTTTATTAATTTAAAGTATCGAATTAAAGTTATAATAAGGGAAAATTTGAGGACCAAATCATAAATTTTGAAAAGTTGTAGCTCAATTTTGGAACTTTTGGGAAGTTTAGAGACTTAACCCTAAATTATCCCATTTTTTTGATATGTTGAAAAAAATGGGATTAAGGTAGTTGAGGGGGCTTGAACACGTGACCCTAAGGTCATGGGTGTCCATGCCTTAGCCACTAGGCTAGGTTCCTATTTTTGATGTAATTAATAAAATACAAGTTTTATTATATTCTAGCCCGGGTTATATACCCAAAACTAAATTTTCCCCTAGTGAAATCCCTAAAATTCCAAAAAATTTCCCCCCAAATCAAATAACCAAAAGCAACCCTATCTTCAAGCCATCGACTACAATTTTGCCTTATTCCGATCGTCGTTATCATGCCCTGCCACCATCAACAGATCCAGTATCCTCATAAGACTCAACCTCGACCTCCCACGACCCCGTATCGATCGTCGTTCGTCGGTATCAAACGATTGAAAGCTTCATATAAACCCAAAACTGTCACCTTTATTATCCTCATTTCTAGTCATTAAAGTCGCCATTCTGCCTCACGCCGACCACCAATGCACTCCCCATATGATTCTGATCAGAACCTGACCTATCCCGTCACCAGTGTCACGCTGTCGTCATCCATCATCGTGGGTAAGCTCGGGTTTATAGTTTAGATTATTTTCTTTCGATTTTGACATGGTTTTGATTAAATTTTGATTGTAATTGGTAAGTGCTTGAATAGGCAGTAATCGACAGTCGTCCCCCGACCTGTCACCGTCATCACGCGCCATCGCGTGCGCATGGGGCTTGTCTCCAGCTCTGGTTCCTTCTAGAACCAATTCAATCAGTCTGGACCGGTCTGAACCGGCCCAACCTGGTCCTAACTAGGTTTGTTTGACCGAATTGAGTCATCCCGACTTGACCCGTTTACTTTGACCCGACCCGTTAACTTTAACCTGACCCGTTGAACATTGATCGATTTGACCGTTGACTTTGACCGATCTGACCGTTGACTTTGACCGGTCTGGCCGTTGACTTTGACATTGACCAAAAAGTCAAGTTTTCTTAAAAGTCCTATTTAATGTTTTTCGACGTCCTAGGTGTGAATTCGAATTCCATTTTTTCCCAATTCGTGCTCGATAAGCCATTTTTCAATGTTTTATCTTCGGATTTAACTTGGTTTCTCAATTAAGTTTAGTTTCTTACGTAAATTTGGTTGCTATGTATCCAAGGAATTATTGGACGTTGAATTCAAGTTTGGGAGTGATCAAATGGAGTTTAAATGTTTGATCGGTAGAGCACAAAAATTGAGGTAATACTCTACTACCTTTTGTATGCTTTCCAGAACACATTGATAATTGGTAAATGCATGAATGGAAATAATTGGTCCATGAGGTGTATTTAATTATCATTGGACTCAAATTGAATTTGGAATAAAGACGGAACACTATATAAAACTCAGACGGCTCATAAAAGAAATTGGTAGACCGATCAGAAATAAATCTAAGTTCAGTGATTTAATCATTAATTTAATCAATCTCAGAACTAGTAAATTCTGATTAATCTCGTTAAAGGTTAAATGTCGTAAATACTTGAATAAGAAACTACTAAAATACTGGTATGTTATAAAAGATAAGGATTTTCCAGGAAAGTAAAAATAATCATGTTAATCGATAAGGATCTTTGAGATGATAAAAGACTTAAAATTTCTAATTCATGAGCGAACACTCGGAGACTAAATTACCGAAAGTATCTTACATGTATGAATTTCTTGAAATGAAAAACTTGAACTCAATGGAAGTACTGTACGTATTCGAATTATTAAAACGATAGAATTACTCTTGAAACTCCGAAGTGACTAGGATAAACATGAATACTAATTGATTTAAGTACCCTAATGACCTTGAATTAAGCGAATAACTTGGATAAGTTTGGAAACACTGATGATCTTATATATTGTATCGTCCATAAGGGTTTTGAACCACAAATCAAGCACGTCGACATTTCTCAATATCGTTGCAATGCATAAGTGAAATAACTACCATTGTAATGTTTGCATGTCTCCCTAAGATCCATACATCGATGATTATGAAGATGATCAATTGACAAGAGTTGTCTATATTAAAGAGTGTATACCCTTAAAGTTCAACGATTTGACTGGTTGACAGGTATCATTGTTGGGATTTGTACAGTTCGAGTTAACTCGATATTTCGATAGATCGACACAAATCTTAAATGCCCTGAATCTTCGTTTCTCCTTTTTTAGATCAAATCACTAAGAATTCTCCAAGAATTTAATGCCCAAAATGCCTCTGATTTCCTGGATAATGGAATTACTCCTGTCATATCTGAAAACACAAGTAACTCTGATACAAAGGATTCTGAAAACCTTTTTGATTACATAGTGCCTCCAAAAAATATCCAAATGATATATGATCTTGATAAATCATGTTTTGAATAACTGATGAATATGTCAGCTATCAAACCCTTTTATGGGGATCTCATTTCTGAATTTAATTAGTTTACATAAGTTTCATGACTCCTTATCTGATAAATACCAAGCACATTCGAAAAATAATCGGATCCTCTAGTGTGTTCCCAATATGTTATATGATTGTTTTTATCCATTCTGAAATCTGTTTTACCAAGATTTCTGAGCTACTGAAGTTTTAAGTCTGTCTGTCTGATTCATGATCTCTGGATACATTTCTACTGAATTGATATGTATGAACTCTGATTTCCTACTACCATTGATTTCTGTCTGGAAAATGTTTTTCTTCGGGGTACTCTGGGATTTGGTATAAGTCTCTGCAGGTTCAGCTCGGTCTAATTGGTAATTCCTTAGATATATTCACACCGATCGAGCTGGTAATTCCTAATGGACCTAAGGAGACTCTTAGGTGAGCTCCTAGGCCTAATGGGCCTAGTGGTAAGACCTTATGGACCCTAAGGCACTCCCTTAAGGTGCCTTAGGGTGGCTCCTCTACTGTGTGCATTGAGTAAGTCCTTATGGGCCTGAGGGCACTCCCCTCAGGTGGGTACCTACACTTCGGCTAGGGTAAGACCTTATAGACCCAAGGTGCTCCCTTAGGTTGGTACATACGCCCTTGGGCCTAGGGTAAGTCCCTATGGATATAGTTATGAGGAACTACATATTGGCGTTCGATTTGAGGGTTTACTATGGTTTTTAAAAAAGTATATTTTAAATTTCTACTATTTTAAAAAGATTTTTACACTATCACTGGTTTTGTAGGAACACACTAGACACCTTATTCTGATCTCATGAACCTAGTCCTCTGACGTTTGCTTTGAACTAGAAGCTTCCTGTCTTTTACTACCTGAGATATCAGTGGGACCTCAGCTCAGCATAAAAATCTGTAGATGTCTGAATCAATAAGAAAAATTATGTTTGCTTATTATTTACATGTCCTTCAGCATCACTTGGTAGTTCTGTATTACCGAGCCTTCCAAAGCTCACGCTGTTACTCACTATTTCAGGTTAAAAGGATTTAACCAGTGCAACTATCGATATCAGTAAATGAGTTCCACCGATGTTACTTGCGGAGTATGGTTCATGTTTTTAGGGGGCATGTAGGTGGTATTTTTTTATATCCTAGTCTGAAACGTGTATGATTTTAATTATGTCTGTAATATATGAATAGTTTTCCAAACTTGTATTTTAATTATAAATTGTTTTATAATTGTACACATTTTAAAAGAAATTAATTTTTTTCTGGGATTTTTATTGTGGGCCACTCTAGTGGCCCTAATGGGACACTTCAGATCAGATCAGGTCACCCGCATCGGTCTGTGGGTATTACATTTAGTGGTATCAGAGCTTAGGTTAAGTCAAGTTTTCTAGGGAGACCGACCGGTCGAATGTCATAGTTTGTCTTGTCGGTACATGCCCCTAGACTATAATCATACTTCTCTAAGCCAGAATTCCAAAGTTAGCTCTTCTTTGTAATAAACTAACCTAAGTTTTCTATCTATTAGGGCTCGACCTATGCATAAAGGAATACCAGTAACGTTTGTATAAATTCTGTAATGTGCTTCATGAGTAATGTGAGACTTACTCATCTGAGAAATTCTGAAGCGACTCTAGAAATAAAATTGGGATATGTTACGCTCTATGAACCTAACCTCATAACCAAGGTCGAATTGATTCCACAAGGATAATTCTGTTTAGATTTTTTTATTGGGAATAAGGGAGAGTTTTGTCGAGAATGTACATTCAGTTGGTTAAGGATTAGTAAAGGACTAGTACTTCTGTAAAAGCTACTTGAAGATAATGAAGAATTTATGAAAGTTTCACTTAGTTTGTCTTGTCGGTACATGCCCCTAGACTATAATCATACTTCTCTAAGCCAGAATTCCAAAGTTAGCTCTTCTTTGTAATAAACTAACCTAAGTTTTCTATCTGTTAGGGCTCGACCTATGCATAAAGGAATACCAGTAACGTTTGTATAAATTCTGTAATGTGCTTCATGAGTAATGTGAGACTTACTCATCTGAGAAATTCTGAAGCGACTCTAGAAATAAAATTGGGATATGTTACCGCTCTATGAACCTAACCTCATAACCAAGGTCGAATTGATTCCACAAGGATAATTCTGTTTAGATTTTTTTATTGGGAATAAGGGAGAGTTTTGTCGAGAATGTACATTCACTTGGTTAAGGATTAGTAAAGGACTAGTACTTCTGTAAAAGCTACTTGAAGATAATGAAGAATTTATGAAAGTTTCACTTATGCATTTCTGTACTTGAGGGAATTTCGATGATGAAATTCATTTAAGGGGAGCAGAATTGTCACACCCCAATATAGGGGCTAGTTTTTATTAATTTTTAGTATCGAATTAAAGTTGTAATAAGGGAAAATTTAAGGGCCAAATCGTAAATTTTTAAAAGTTATAGCTCGATTTTAGAACTTTTTAAAAGTTTAGAGACTTAACCCTGAATTATCCCATTTTCTAATCTATTGAAAAAATGGGATTAGGGTAGCTGAGAGGGCTTGAACCCGTAACCCTAAGGTTATGGGTGCCCATACCTTAGCCACTATGCTAGGTTTATATTTGTGATGTAATTAATAAAATACAAGTTTCATTATATTCTGGCTCGGGTTTTATACTCAAAACCAAAATTTCCCCTAGTAAAATCCCTAAAATTCCTAATATTTTCCCCCAAATCAAATAACATGAACTAACATCATCTTCAAGCCATCGACCACTATTTCGCCTCGTTTCAACCGTCGTTGTCGTGCCCCGCCGCTATCAAACAATCCAGTATTCTCTGGTGAGTCAACCCCGACCTCTCATGACCCCGTATCGACTGTCATTCACCGGGATCGAACGATTGAAAGCTTCGTCAAAAACCTTGATTTTCCTCCTTTTTCAGTCATTCCAGTAGCTATTCTGCCTCAATCCAGCCACTGTTGCACTCCCCAAATGATTTCGATCAGAACCCGACCCATCCTATCGCCTAGTGTCACGTCGTCGTTATCCGTCATCGTGGGTAAGCTTCGGTTTATAGTTTGGATTATTTTCTTTTGATTTTGACATGGTTTTGATTAAATTTTGATTGTAATTGTTGAGTGCTTGAAAAGGGGGTAATCGAAAGCCGTCTCCCAACCCAACACCATTGTCATACACCACACGCACCGTTGCGTGTGCGTGGGATAGTGCGTGGGGCTTGTCTCTAGTTCTATTTTCTTCTAGAACCGACCTAGTCGGTCTGGATCGGTCTGAACATGCCAACCCTGTTCGAACCAGGTTTGTTTGACCCGAACTGAGTCAACCCAACCCGTTGACTTTGAGCCAACCTATTGACTTTAACTTGACTCGTTGACCGGTTTGACCGT